GCTACTACTAATACAGCCCAATATGCCGTTGGCCTTCTTGGCAATGAGGGCACACTGTTGACTCATAACCAGCATCTCGTCCACTGTAATCCCCAGGTCCTTTTCTGCAGAACTGCTGTATAGCCAGTCGGTCCCCAGCCTGTAGTGGTGCATGGGATTCTTCCTTCCTAAGTGTAAGACTCATTAGATTTCTTTTGGACCAATCCTCCAATTTGTCTCGGTCACTCTGGACCCTATCCCTACCTTCCAGCGTATCTACCTCTCCCCGCAGCTTAGTGTCATCTGCGAACTTGCTGAGGGTGCAATTAATCCCATCACCCAGATCATTAATAAAAATGTTGACAAAACTGGCCCCAGGACCGACCTCTGGGGCACTCCATTTGATACTGGCTGACAACTACACATTGAGCCGTTGATCACTATCCATTGAGCCCGACTATCTAGCCAGCTTTCTATCCACCTTATAGTCCATTCATCCAATCCATACTTTTGTAACTTGCTGGCAAGAATACTGTGGGAGATCATATCAAAAGCTTTGCTAAAGTCAAGATAGATCACATCCACTGCTTTCCCCATATCCACAGTGCCAGTTATCACATCATAGAAGGCAATCAGGTTGGTCAGGAATGACTTGCCCTTGGTGAATCCATGTTGACTGTTCCTGATGAACTTCCTCTCCTCCAAGTGCTTCAAAATGGATTCCTTGAGGACCTTCTCCATGATTTTGCCAGGGACTGAAGTGAGGCTCACCGGTCTTAGTTCCCCAGTTTCTCTTTCTTCCCTTTTTTAAATATGGGCACTATATTTGCCTTTTTCCAGTCGTCCGGGACCTCCCCTGATCGCCACGGATTTTCAAAGATAATGGCCAATGGCTCTGCAATCACATCAGCCAACTCCCTCAGCACCCTTGGATGCATTAGATCTGGACCCATGGACTTGTGCATGTCCAGCTTTTCTAAATATTCCTTAATCTGTTCTTTCATCACTGAGGGCTGCTCACCTCCTCCCCAAACTGTGTTTCCCAGTGCAGCAGTCTGGAAGCTGACCTTGTCTGTGAAGACCGAGGCAAAAAAAAGCATTCAGTACTTCAGCTTTTTCCACATCATCTGTCGCTAGGTTGCCTCCCCCACTCAGTAAGGGTCCTACACTTTCCCTTCGTCTTACATATGATGCTCCTGTTAATACAACCAAGAATGACAATAGCCTTTTTTCACAACTGCATCACACTGTTGACGCATAATCAATTTGTGATTCACTATAACCCCCTAGAGCCTTTTCAGCAGTCCTACTGTCTAGCCAGTTATTCCCCATTTTGTAGTTGTGCATTTGATTTTTCCTTCCCAGAGTGTAGTAGTTTGCACTTGTCTTTATTGAATTTCATTGTATTGATTTCAGACCAATTCTGTAATTTTTCAAGCTCATTTTGAATTCTAATTTTGTTCTCCACAGTGCATGGAACCCCTCCCAGCTTGGAGTCATCTGGAAATTTCAACCCTCTACTTGATTATGCAAGGCATTGAACAGTACTGGACCCAAGACAGACCCCAGTAGATATGCCCTCCCAGTTTGACAGTGAACCATTCATAACTATACTTTGAATACAATCTTTCAACCTGTAGTGCACCCACCTTATAGTAATATAATAAAACACGCAGAAAGAGATAAAGCCTACTTTATAGGATTCCCACAGATGAATGTCCAAGACTGGGGACTAGCCAAGGCAGAGGCACTATAGGCCCACACCTAGGCCCTGGAGTGACCTGATGAATGCATGATCACCTTTCGTTAACAAATAGAAACAGATTTCTAGCCCACATAGTTGTGAGAAAAAGCTTGAAAATGTGACCCTAATGTAACTGATGCAAGGACATCTGCCGAAGTCTGCAGGTAGGCTGAAAAAAATAGCATAGAGGTGTGAACATCCCCATGCATCTCAATAAGGTGTTAACTCACTTCTCTGGGAGCTCCACCAACACCACCTTAGCAGAGAATTGTGCATATGGCAGGAAGTTGAGCAGCAGGCCCAGCCAATACATATAAGAGATAAAAGGGAATATAACTAGGGCAACCTGTGGCTGAAGTAAACACAGGGGTGCCCCCTGCTGCCACACCTGCCTCTTCTAGGACGCTGAGGGACCCCTGCTGCCAGCCTTGTGTGGAACCTGCTTCTCTGAAAGGGAAAGGAGCTCCCCCCTCCCTCCCTGACGCTATCACTCCATGGAGGAGGGGGAGATGAGAACCACCGAGCAGGGGGAGCTGGGGCCTGACGGGTGAAGTCATAGGGGACAGGTTGTGGTGTGCTTAAGACTCCAGGTTGTCTTCATCTGTTCCTGCCAATGGGCAAAATGTAGTTGATTAAAGTTTGATCTCAAGAGTCATTAGAATTTTGTTTAGTAACCACCAAGCTCATAGCCTTGCAAACAAGTAGAGAGTCGCAATATTTAATCTCCAAAACCTAGCAGCATGAATTATCATTAGAATCCACTTACCATAGTGATGATAAAACAAAACATTTTTAAAGAAACCACAACCAATGGGTCCTCAGCCATTAATGGTTGTAATCTACACCTGCACCAGCCAAGGGAGCCTTGGCGTCTCTTAAGTATTAGTCACAGGGTCAAACTGTGACTGTTACAATCAGGGCCAAATTATGGCTGGCCCTGCAGGCATGAATTACAGAGGTGAAAGTTTAAAGAGCCCCTTCTGCCCACCCCAGCACAACTGCAGAGAAGACAGACATAGTTTAGAATTAGTGTTACAGCATGGCATGATCTGATGACTTTGTCTCCCCTCAGGCTATAAACCTTGTGGGGAATGGGAGTTGTAACACTGGCGGACCAGGTGCCAGCTCATGCCAAGGCCCCTAGGTGTCAGCTGAACACTGACTAATACATAACTGGAACCAATCTGGCTCACCTGTGTGTTAGTGTTGTTACAACAAGTATTAGAGTTATACAAATGTGTTTAGTGTTCAGAGTTCATGAAATGCTTGTCAATTGCTGCATGCATTAATCTCACTTACAGTGTCTCATGCTATAAAGTAATATTTAAGTGTTTGGTCTGTAACTGTAAATCACCCAACAGGAGAGAAGTATTAGGCAAGTGTGAAAAACGAGTTTGCCACAGGAGGTGTTATCTCATGCCCAACAAAAGAAGGTCCACCAACACCAGACAAATCGTTGTGGAACATCAGAGGACAAAAGACTTTATTGATTGCTTCCCCCTCCGCCCCCAAGAAGAGGAGATGTGCAACTGAATTCCTCCCAGCAGCTGAACTTGCAACTTGAAGCAGAACGGGGAAGGAATAAAAAGCCCTAAGAAGGAGAAACTGTATCTTGTATGCTGCTTGGACTCTGAGGGGCAAGGATTACTAAGCATAAACAAAAGCTCCCCAGTGGTTGGCCTGGGTTAGCCCTAAAGGATATAGAGCGCTTGCTTATTCTAGAAGCTTCTATTACGTTTTGAAAGTTAAGACTGGAACTCATTTTTGTGTATATATGTTTACCTGCTTTAACCTTGTAAATAATGTTCTTATTTCCTTTTCCTAGTTAATCAATCTTTAGATAGTTTATTACAGGATTGGATACAAGTGTTGTCTTTGGTGTGAGATCTCAAGTGCAATTAAGCTGCAGTAAGTGATTGGTCCTTTGGGACTAGGATTAACTTGAATATTGTTGTGATTTTCGGTGTAAGGGGCCATCTATCACAAAGGCAGGCTTGCCTAGGTGACAAGATTGATTGGAGTGCCCCAGGGGACTGTCTGTGACTCCATGTTAAGGCTGTTGTAGTGCTTGGGGAGTCTGCACATGAACCTTGGTTGGTGAAATCTAACTATAGAACTCACAGACGAATTGGGGTTTGTGCCCTGCTTCTTCACAGTCTGTCTTGAGGCTGGTCCTCATGCTCCTGAGCCACTGCAAGACAGCTTGACAGGCCAACTTGAAAAGTGCTTCTTCCTGGCATAATCCCGAACAGTACCCTGGAAAGACTAAGTCAGATTCTACCCTATGCTGTGGTCTCCGGCAGCACAGGGAGTTGAAATGGCCATTGCAGAATCCTCCTGTCCCACATAAAGCGGACATAATGGCTCTTGGACAAAATATGGCCTTGTGAAAGGGGATGTCACTTATTGCATCAGAGCTTATGGGAACAAATAGTTTTAGAAATGTTGACTGTGTATTTCTAATTAAAAAGTAGCACATGCTAATCAAATAGCAAGCAGGAGGAATTGTACTAGTCCACTGAAGAACACATAGTGGAGGTAATTCTTTTCTTATTTATTTAAACCTTTTAGTTACCCTTGCTTAAATAGGGGCTGTATCTGGCACTCAGTCTGTGCTAGATTGTCACAGCTTTTACTCCGCTGCACAGAGTATGACTCTGCTACTCTGGCTGTGATGAGAAGAGCAGGGTCTACTCATCTGATAATCCCTGCTGTGAGCAAATGGCTAGGGAGGAAGCAAAGAAGAGCAGAGTGGGGAGCCATGGATTTGCTACTTCTACCTACTGGCTAGAGGAGATAGCTGGGTGCTGAGATGGGAGTGAGCTGCTCCACAGAAAGAGGTGAAGTAATTTTCTCTACCAGAGCAAGGAAGGAGTAGAGGAGTAGATGTGACTGAGTCAGAACTGGATCCTTGCTCTGCTCCTGAGGTGATACAGCCTTATTCAAGGCAGAGTATATAGTTACAGATTATACATTGGTTGAACTCTTACAAAAAGCAATGGCAGTTTTGCATGAACAACTACTACAAGACCAGGCCATAGTACATGGAATACTCCAATTGTAACCTCTGGGCCAGGTTGCAACACCCTTACTCATCGAATAGCACCTTGCTCCACAATTGGTGTCAGTATCTGTACCTCTGGACTGGTAAACCAATGCAAAGAAAGTCCTTTTTTAAAAAGGACAATTTAGTAGCTAGGTTAGCTACTGCGATTAAACATTGTTTTACCAGGAAAAAAAAGCATCATTAATACCCATATAAAATATAGTTTTGTACCTATTACGTGACTCTGACATGTAGTGCTTGTGATGGTGTCCTCTTCATCTTCCTGCTGGCTTTCTGTGACCAATTTAGTCTGCAAATAATACAACAAAAATCAAAGTAAACAAAACATCCTTCACATGTCTGCTTTTGGTAGCATAGACCAAAAATGGTGTGAAGCCATAGCACTTTTGTTTTATTGTTTTAGTTGATTATTTACCTTAATTATCCTAATATCCTTTCAGAAATGTTTAGCTGCTCAAGTATTAAAAGTAGGAATATATAGTATGTCTCATTCCATGAAAGATGTCTAAAGATAACAGCTTTGATTCTAAATCCTCTAATAAAAGCCATGATATGCGGCTGTCAAGAAAAATTAAGACTTGGGGAGATATAATCCCTCAAGAGGAAATTACTTCTGCTACAATCCATTTTAATAAGAATACAGAAATACACTCAGGTTTCATGACCCTGTATTTGTTTCTCTCCAGGAATATCATGCATCATTCTTTATACTAAGGAAAATATGAGGTGAACTTAATGTGTGACATGGTATCTCCTCATTCGGTTTGCAATCATTTAACTCTGGTGTCTTCTTTTCCACCTGTTAAAAGGCTAGCTAGAAAGCCAATCATAATTTTAAAAAATGAATCATGCACCAAGATCCCTATACTGATCTTTTCGATTGCACTGTAGTTAAAATGTGTGATTCTAGCCTCATGGATTTTCTAGGTGATGCTTGAGAGGACTGCATAATTCACACTTTTTCTTGTCTCCTATTCCCAAAAATGGGTGCACAAATAGTTAAGCTTCTTCCTAGAATGCATTTTGTCAACTTGCTTCTTACATGTACAGAGAAAAACCTCTTCAGTGTGCACCACGTGTGGCTATAATTCAAATCCAAGGGCGTATGTTTTTTCTTACACCATGCCAATATGTATAAGCCAAACAGAAAGGAAAATACTTGCTAAGGCTGTCCTGAAAGAGAACAAGCCCTGAAGAAAAATTCACTCTTTCACTACTTGGTGCTTTTATTAATACTTGTTAACTGCCCTCCATTGCCCTAAGCCACTTCCAGGATCTATTGTACTTTATATACATTCAAAGAAGTATTAAATATGCTTCCCAATCTAAAATCTTAGGATTTATTATTATTTGCAAAACAATTTTTTAAAAAATGTATCATAGGCCAGATTCTGCTTGTCTTACTCACACAGGTAGTTCCATTGACTTCTCATGACTAGCATTAGTAAGTCAAGGATTTGTCTCTATAAATTTGCAAAAGTCACATATTCTTTTAAGTGGAAAGATTTTATAAGAACTTTTTTCTTGGGGAACAGAACTCTTCAGGGCATGTGGAATAAGAGAAGAATATGTGCATGGTCACAGCCAGGACATAGGCAGAGTATGACTGTGGAATCTGGCTCAGGCTCAGAGCAAGGGAGGAGTAGATGAGGAACTGTGACTCTGAGTCATAACTGGATCCTTGCTCTGCTCCTGAGGTGATACAGCCTTATTCAAGGCAGAGTATATAGTTACAGATTATACATTGGTTGAACTCTTACAAAAAAGCAATGGCAGTTTTGCATGAACAACTACTACAAGACCAGGCCATAGTACATGGAATACTCCAGTTGTAACCTCTGGGCCACTTAGGGATTGTGTCACAGTCAGGACATAGGCAGCCTGACCCAGCAGTCTGAGCCAGATTCCACAGTCATGACACAGAAGTAAGCTAGGGCAGGATATTAGGAGATGAGAAACAGAAGACAAACTGGAGATCAGCACCACAAGTCAGGAACCAGGATCAGGCTGGGTCAGAATACCAGGAGGTCAGAGTCAGGAAACAAACTGGAGGTCTGGACCCACAACTTGGATGGCAGGAAATAAAGGAGCAGAGGAGCAGAGAGGGGACAGGAGTGGAGCACAGCTGTTTCAACAGCTTCCTGTTCCTGCTACTGGCTTAAGTAGGGCCAGTGGACCAATCAGCCACCCTGGGGCTCCAACAATTGGACCTCAGGGGTAGAGCCTGACACTGTGGCTGGTCTTCATGGGTCCCAAGTAGGTCCTTGTCAACAAGCTGGGTTCAAGACCCATAGGTCATGACAGATTGTATGTGTCCTGCTAATTTTATTAAACTTCATGATAGAGGTCTATGTCCTTGGGTATTCCAAAATGCCCAGAGTGCAATTCAGGGAGCTGTATGCAAAGGTGGCTCAAATTTCTCACTTGAACGGCCCTGATTCTGGTGCTACTCTGTCCACTTCTCCCCCCACATTGTGTTACAGTAGTCTCATAGCTGATGAAAACTTAGCTCAGGACTAGCGTAGAATTGTCCTGACCATGCCCCCATTTCCATACTATGCCAGCAGAAGGGAGGGTGTGGTATTATTTACCCCTAGGCTGACTGTATGTCACTTCATGATAACTTTTCCTGTGGAATGAGCCACCATAGACCACTTACAGAGGTCTTGCAGCCAAAATATGCTGGCAGTGCCATTCAAAGCTGTTGCATCTCACCTGAAGTAATGGCCAATGGTCTGAACAAGTTGAGGCCTATGTCAGAAGAGAACATTTGGGGTGTTACTGTTTTGTGCCTATGGGACTACATGTGTGAGTGAGCAGCATTTGGTCCAAAAGGAACCTTTTTTGATTAACTTAATCATAACGCATTTGGTGGCTGTGTATCTCTCCCAAAGGTGTATATACAAGCTTGCTGTTAATGAGACGTTAGTTTTATATCTTTTAAATATGAGAGCCAAGTAATGGTGCTCTCTAGTATAAGTTGCACAAAAATCAGGGATAAGTGCTGCATAAAGGATGGCATAATAGGTCCCCGTGCCTTTAATTAGCACTTCTAAAGAGAAAAGATTTAATTCTATGAAGTATAAGAAAAAACACTTGAAAAAACACTTTCTAGAATGTTAATGTTTAAAAGAGTCTCATGTTATTGTCAGGTTTTTAAAAAGCGGTACATACGATATGAGATTTGAAGTACAAGTGTCAGTTTCAGTGTTGACCCTCATTACTGAATGTACTTTACATTGTTAAGAGAAGAATAATCCTCTTAGTTTAAGGTTTTTTAAAAGATTTATGCTGTTTTGTCAAAAAGCATTTATTTTTCCTTTTTATAAAAAATACACAATGGTCTATGCTACCACATGCTAGTGTTTTCAGTCATAGATCTCTCTCTAAACAGAATCCTTTGCAATCTTCTTCAAAGAAAGCAGACACCAAAGAATAATGAAAAGAGCTAGAAATAAAATGCATGAACTCTGAATTTAAAGAGTTTCAGTTGTTTCTCTAGTATGAGTTTGGAGGACAAGCTGAAATTCCTCTTAATTTATAAATCCTATTTAACAGCATATTTCTTTCAAAAATTAGACTTAAGAGCACAAAGTATGTCCTTTCATTCTCTTTATTCTAAATGTCCTCTCAACATGTTGGCACTAGTTATTTCATTTAGGAATTAAACTCAACAAAATTCATAATAAGGAATTCACAACTGAAGCAACTTGAATCTTCAAAAACAATATAGTTACAATACTTTGATTTCCAGCTTAACAAAGGGATGTATGGTATAAAATAGGTAATTCTTTTCACCATGACTAATTTGTCCTTAGAAGCTAAATAGGATAATTAGCATTTCTCCATTATTTATGTATATTAAGGACAATCTTTGTACTTCACTGATAAAATGAAGTGTGTTTCTTGAAGATATACTTAAAGTCCTAAATGACTGTTATTGTTACATTTAGAAAGACTTTACAAAATGAGAGACAAAAAGCATAGCAAATTATTGCAGCATTAGAAAATAATAAGAAAGCAAAAAAGAAATTGTAGAAGCAATGGTTCAGAGCTTTTTGTACTTCTGTACAGTGACGATATACCCTAAGCTGTCAGGACCATATTAAATGGGGCATAGTTAAATTGAGTGGCTCTGATAAGGGGCTCCGCTTTGCTATCAAAGTTCTAGATCAGTTGGATTGAATTTCCTGCATATTGCACATTTCCAGACTTTCATTCTCTCTCTTTCCTTTCAGTGACATTACAAGGGCAGCCTTAGATATGCTTATAATTTGTGGTTTTATAATGCAGGGAACATCTACATTTTCAAAGAAGAGATGATACCACAGAAGCCAGGAGCAAAAAGTTTTCCAAAGCATTCATTCTGCCAATGCTTTCTGAGAGAGTTTTTAAAAATGACCTTGTATATCCTTTTAGTACAGACATTATTTGCATGAAAATAAAAATACACATTTGCCTGCACTTGAAAGTGTGTCTGTGATACTATAACCTTAAGCCCTATAACATCAATAGTAAACTAAGAGGTTTTCCAATTCCCCTTATGAAGCTTTTTGAAACTTGCTTTACCCTTCAAATATGACCCAGAGAAATATTTAATTACTTCATATTTCAAATGTTCTCATACGAAATGGTAGCATGTGCTGTATTTTAATAACCCATTTTGTCAGAACAAAAATGATATGCTTAAATTAATGCTGTACACTGTACACATTTGGTACAAACATTCAAATTATTTTGCAAAAAGGGGAAATAATATGGTTAACACAACTATGAAGAGTGAAGAAAGTTTTTATGATACAAAATTAAAGGCGGTTAGAGTTAAAATATCTGTATGTCACCGGTATTTGAAACTTTATAACATCATGGGAGAAGCCCACTTTAAAGGAGAAATCACTCTCAGCTGAGTTCTAAGATTAATTATTAAAAACTTCACAATTAGGGGTATCTTTAGAGTAAGATCTTAGGTCACAATTCTGCAAAGATTTACACATTCTTAGCTTTATTCATTTGATGCACAGCAAGCACTACTCACAATGTGTAAAGCTAAGCAAATACATGCATAACCTTTGCACAATCAGGGCCCAAGAGCTGACAGTGCTTAAAACAATTTTCCTTAGGAATTGTAACGCTTCTGCTTTCTGGATAAATTAAAGTATCAGATCCAGTTAAAACTGTAGAGAAGCACAAAATTCATTTCAAGGGGGATATTTTCAAAGGTACAAAGGGTAGCTAAGGGGCTTAATTCCCATGGAAAGTCAAGTATCCAATTCTCACTTGTGTGTTTGA